CTGCCTGACCAATTTGGTGGCCTTCTATGATGGGGCTACAGAACTGATGGACAGGGGTAGAGCAGTCAATGTCATCTACCTGGGCTTCTGCAAAGCGTTTGACACTTGTCCCACAAGACATCATTGTCCCTATATCGGAGAGATATCAATTTGATAGGGGGACTACTCTGTGGATAAGGACCTGGTTGGATGGCCGCATGCAAAGAGTTGTAGTCAATGGCTCAATGTCCAGCTGGAGACCAGTAACGAGTGGTGTCCCCCAGGGATCAGTGTTGGAACCGGTCTTGTTTAACATCTTTGTCGCTGCCATGGACAGTGGGATTGAGTGCGCCCTCAGCAAGTTTGCCGATGACACCAAGCTGTGTGGTTCGGTTGATACCCTGGAGGGAAGGAATGCCATCCAGAGGGACCTCGACACGCTTGTGAGGTGGGCTGGTGCCAACCTTATGAAGTTTAACCATGATGAGTGGAAGGTCCTACACCTGGGTAGCAGCAATCCCAGGCACAGCTACGGATTAGGCAGAGAAGAGATTGAGAACAGCCCTGCGGAAAAGGACCTGGGGGTGTTGGTCGATGAGAAAATGAACATGAGCCGGCAGTGTGTGCTCACAGCCCAGAAAGCCAACCGTATCCTGGGCTGCATCAAAAGGAGCGTGACCAGCAGGTTGAAGGAGGTGATCCTGCCCCTCTACTCGGCTCTTGTGAGACCTCACTTGGAGTATTGTGTGCAGTTCTGGTGTCCTTAACGTAAAACTGACATGGAACTGTTGGAACAAGTCCAGAGAAGGGCCACGAGGATGATCAGGGGACTGGAGCACCTCTCGTATGAAGATAGGCTGAGAATGTTGAGGCTGTTCAGCCTGGAGAAGAGTAGGCTGCATGGAGACCTCATAGCAGCCTTCCGGTATCTGAAGGGGGCCTATAGGGATGCTAGGGAGGGACTCTTCATTAGGGACTGTAGTGACAGGATGAGGGGTAATGGGTTAAAACTTACACAGGGGAAGTTTAGATTGGATATAAGGAGGAATTTCTTTACTGTAAGGGTGGTGAGGCACTGGAATAGGCTGCCCAGGGAAGTTGTTAATGCTCCATCCCTGGCAGTGTTCAAGGCCAGGTTGGACAAAGCCTTGGGTGAGATGGTTTAGTGTGAGGTGTCCCTGCCCATGGTAGGGGGATTGGAACTAGATGATCTTAAGGTCCTTTCCAAACCTAACATTTCTATGATTCTATGATTCTAAACAAAGTCATTGCTTTTCAGATTGCCAGCAAATATCTCTCTTCCCCACGAAAACAAGCCCTGTAATTGTAAGTCTTCTTCCAGTTGTTAAAGAAGGTTTTGCCTCCTTTGTCTCTTCTTGACTGGACAGTCTTTACTATATGCACACCTTGTTTACCTTTGTTTGCCACCCTCATGATCTTGATCCACAAGCATTCCTGTTTGACTCTTTGGATCAACAGCATGTTGTGTTGCTGAAATAGTGGGAAAACTATGCCATATTTCAAGAAAGTGCAGGACACCTAGTGCACTGGTGAGAAAATATTTTTGCGCGTAAGAGGAATATCAGCTTACTCCTCCTCCTCCATCCTGGCAAAGGATGAGTAAGTTCCCCTCCCTCTACTTCTCCATATCTTGGTCTGTGAAGTCTCTGTGGTAGATTGTCATATATATCAGGTCAGCATGTCATACTGCAATAGATAGTCAGTGTGTAAGCTCTGTTACTTTCTAAAGATTGCAGGAGTCACTGCATTAGTATTTCTAGAATCATAAGATGGTTTAGTTTGGAAAGGACCTTAAACATCATCTAGTTCCAAGCATCCTGCCATGAGTACCTTCCAGTAGACCAGGGTGCTCAAAGCCCTACCCAGCCTGGCCTTGGGCACTGCTGGGGATAGAACAGCCACAGATTCTCTGGGCAGCCTGTGCCAGTGCCTCACCACCCTCACAGTAAAATTCTTCTCCTAATATCTAATCTAAATTTACCTTCTTCCAGTTTAAAGTCATTCTTCTTTGCCCTATCGCCACATGCCCTTGTAAGAAGTCCCTCTCCAGATTTATTGTAGGCCCCTGGAAGGTACCAGAAGGCTTCTATAACGTCTCCCCAGTGCCTTCTCCAGGCTGAACAACATGACTGTATCCTGCATCTTGTCTTCATGATTGCTGAGATTTTGTGATATACAGAATCTGTAAGTCCACTTCCCAGAGGCAATATAGAATGTGAATATCCCCATGCACCAGAAGGTTAGAAGGAAACCTGTTTGCTAAAACAAGTGTATGTTTGTACAGAATTCTGTCATTACCAGGAACATAGTGGTTTTGAGCATGTTAGTGGAAAATATCATACTCTAATTTGCTCTGCCAAAGGTACAGATTTTGAATGTTCCCAAGTAACATGTGTAAGCTGGTTAGGACAACAGGGCAGGATGAAAACAAACGGAAACATAGATGAGAGCATGCTGGAAATAAATATTGAGGCAACTATACAGATTATTTGTACATGTGGCAAGATAAAACATTTTCTGTATTTTTCATTCTCTTGAAAGCTGACTCCTGCTTCATTCAATGACAACTGAGTTAAGTCTTATTTTATTTTTGTAATATTTAACAGGATTCTTTGTTTGGATTACAATACATGGTGATACTCAGAGCACTGTGTGCTTTTCTCTGTACCTTCTATGAAAGGATCACCATTTTTTGGCTCAAATATGTGCATGAAGACCTTAATTAAAAGAAAGATGTTTTTCTAAACTACCCTGCTTGTAATGTTTAGTGTCTGAATGTGGTGTTTCTCACTTCTCTACCCTCTCTTCTGTTTTGCATTACCAGTACCTAAAGCTACCTGCTGACAACTTGTTCCCCTTAGATTTCTGCTTTGAGAACTGTGCTGCCTCTCTTAAGTAATTTTAAGCAGTGTTTGACACTGTTGTATTTTGGCCATGGTGGTCAACATTAGCTGCTTCTGCAACTTCAGGTTGTCAGTGGCTGTAGATCAGGCAATAAAGGGTAAATGGCTTAATTAATCAACACCATTTTGAACCTGCCTTGCATCAGTTGATCGTGGTTATACCTGTACTTTTTCTGACCTGAAATCCTACTGAAATAAAGGGGGCTTCAATGGACAAAGTGAGGGTTTGCAAGATCCATCCTTAGCTAATGTCAGTAGCTATGCATTGGTTTAAACAAGACTCGGTTTACTTTGATTTCTAGATTAGTGAAGGTAACATTGAACAGAACATTTAATGTATCTCATTGATTTTCCCTGTAATACTGTTGAAACACAAGTCATTGCTCTAATCATTTGTTTTACCATTAAAATTCTCTATGCAGATCTGGTCCCTTGAGATATCAGTGTGTAACCAGATACTCCATGATCTAATCAGCTTCTGCAAGAAATATGCTATCTCTGCAACACTTAGCAGCAGAAAGCTTAATCAAAATGGAAAATTTATCTAATGTTTAAAGCAAAAGCCAGTTCAAAGCGACAACCATGAAAAGCAGGGCTGTACAAAATCTTAAGACAGTTCTCAGATTAAACAAAGCCAAATCCAAGCCAGAGTCTAACATGATTTTTTGTGACTCCATTTATTGTTAAGGAAGAAAATGTTACAGCTGTGACTTCAGTTTCTAGGGTTCCAGTTCAGTTAAAATAGCATTGAAACAAGAATGACTGACTAGCAGGATTTCATTAATGTGGTACTTGCCACAGCATGCATGCTTTGGAAAGTAATTTTTAAAGGCACCTACAAAACTGTCAGTAGCAGGCAAGACCTGTGCTCTGAACTCATTTTGGTGCTAGGATTTGCGTCTCTGAGGCCCTAATGGTACAGTTCATTTCTGAAATAGAGTTCTACTGACACTGAAGGAGTTTTACAAGCAGTGCTACATAGGCTGTGGAGCAGACCTGCTTGCTATGGTGAATCTGACCAGAAACATCTCTTCTAGCTGGAACAGTGGGACTGTGGCTCTGCCTGCAGCCAAACAGTATTTCCATATAAACTGCCAGATTTCGCCACCAGTGTTCAGAAAGGTAGTGGTGTTCAAGGGTGATAAGCATCTTCTAGTGCCAGCTCACCTCTCCATAAAGACAATGTCCCTTATGGGGGGGAATGATCATGTGTTTGGTGGTGTCTTTAGCTTTATCAGCTGCTTTCATGTAAATGTCTGAATGCTGAGCAAGATAAGTTATTTTGTGGTTGAGGGTTTTCTTAATGGATGTACCTTAGAAACAGTATTTTTCATAGCAAGGTATCTCATACCTTTTATTCATCTTTGTTAAGTTGTGGAATGAGGTAACTTCTGTACATAAGCATGTTAAGTACTGCATCTTGTTCAAGACCATGCACTGGAGTTTCTGTATTGTATCAGTGACAGGCAGTGCTACTGTTGGCTCTATCTGTTGTACTTTTGTAGCAAAGGAAAACAGAATTTGAGGTAAATTTGAGAAGGAAAACAGCATTCAGTAACCTTGTTGATAAGACCTGAAATAAAGAAAAGATTGGAAAGTTTAAGTGTCCTTTACATTTTCAACTCATATTTTAGCTGCAATATAAAGCCAGCTGTGATATTGCTGGTTTGTTTTGTGGGGTTTTTTTAGTTATTTTAATTTTTTTTTCTTTGTTTCTGTAATCTACACAGTGCATGATTCGGTGTATAGGGCCAGACTCTCCTCTTTTCATTGTCCCTAGGGATTTATTATGGGACTATCTTTGCTGGGCTTACACCAGGATTGCTTTGATGTTCAAAGCCCGATGACTTCAGTGACCTTAAAGGCATAAGAATGAGAAGAAAGTGAGGAAGTGCCCATACAAGCAATTAAAGCAGTGCCTGTTTATTTCAAATTCATACAAGCTGCTGTTGTGGTAAATGCTGAGAGACAAATGTAGTATATTAAGAGAAAGGGCAGGGGAGGAGTCTACTGGTGAATGCTGGTACAGGTCAGAAAATTATCAAGAATCACTAATAACAGATTAATACATATTGTTTTCTTCTATTGTGTTTTTAGGTTCTCATGACTCATTTAGCTTTTACATCGATGAAGCTTCTCCAGTTGGTCCTGAACAGCCAGAGACGGTCCAGAATTTTGTATCTGTTTTTGGGACTGTTGCTAAAAAGCTGATGAGGAAGTGGCTGGCTACACAGACCATGAACTTCACCAGCCAGCTGGGGGCAGGTATACGGTATTTTGATCTTAGAATTTCCACCAAGCCCAGAGATCCAGACAATGAGCTCTACTTTGCTCATGGTTTATTCAGTGCCAAAGTCAAGGAGGGTCTGGAAGAGATCAATGCGTTTCTTGCTGACCACCCAAAAGAAGTGGTCTTTCTGGATTTCAATCACTTCTACGGGATGCAGAAATACCATCATGAAAAGCTTGTCCAAATGCTCAAAGACACATACGGAAACAAAATGTGTCCTGCTATATTTGCCCATGAAGTAAGTCTCCAGTACCTGTGGGAAAAGGAACACCAAGTGCTGGTGTTCTACCACAGTCCAGTGGCTCTTGAGGTAGCATTTCTTTGGCCAGGCCAGATGATGCCAGCTCCCTGGGCAAACACAACAGATCCTGAAAAGCTGATTCAATTCCTCCAGGCATCAGTCACTGAAAGAAGAAAGAAAGGTTCCTTCTTTATATCTCAAGTAGTGTTGACACCAAAGGCTAGTACAGTGGTGAAAGGGGTTACTAGTGGTCTCAGAGAAACGATCACAGAAAGGTAAGTTTCTGGCAGGTAACGTGTTGCTGTGCTGAATGTGTGTGTTTGGTAATGCTGCTTTTCTAATGCTTTTTAAAGAAACTCCATCCTACTTTAGGTTAGTCAGAACTTGTGCATAATCTTAAAATATTTAAAGGGACATACATTGAAAGACAAGTTTTTCTATTTTGAAATAAAAATTTGTGCTAAAGCCTAATGCGATTATGGGATTGGGATTGTTTTGGCCTTATTTCTTTTTTTGGGGGGGTTGGTTTTTTTGTTTGGGTTTTTTTGTTTGTTTGTTTTTGTTTTCAAATGTGGTTTCTTACCATGAGCACTGAACACCTTGTCTTGGATTTCCTTACTGATGTGGACAAATCTGTGTGAATTATCTAGATCATGTACGTTTCTATTTATGCATCAGGCTTCAGGTATTGGGTAGATATTTTTTTTTGTTCATGAGCAAAGCCTGAAACTGAAGAATTTGCATCCTTAACTATCTTTATGTACCTTAAACATGTACATATTTTCTTTCTGCATAACATCACACATTATATCAAAGATATCAGGACACTGTTAGAGTGAGTTTGCCTCCAAAGAAGCCTTCATTTGTCATGCAGGAATGAGACTGCAGACCACTGTACAGGTTCTGTATATGGAATACTGTGTTGACAGGCCATTAGTTGTTAGATTACCAAAAAAGCAGTCTGTGCAAGATGTGAGTTATTATGCCATTCTGACTTGAATAAATCACAGCAAGCTTTCAGTTTAAAGGCATATATGTATGACTGTTCTTGCCAACTTTGTAGGAAATGTGAAATTTAATGCCAAGACAAAAGAGCTATTTTTTCCCCTTAAAAAAAAAAAAAAAGAAGAAGGGTTGCAGAGTGTAAAAAAAATTTATAATGGGAGTCAATGGCCTTCTGATGTTCTGCTGTCTGCATTCATGTGCCTGTGTCAGGAAGGTCTATTTGGAACACTGTCTCCTTCTGTATGAGATGAATGACACAGTGCCTGTGACACTACAACCTGCGAAAGAAAACATGCCTCATTTTTGAGAAAGATTGAGCCATTTTTATGGCAGCTTTCCCAAGTGACTGTTAACTTGAAAAAACAAGGAAAATCTTTAGCTGAAATGGTAAAACACTGACACAAGGTTTTATAAACACTGGGATATGATTCAGAAATGCTTGTATGACTGCACTTGCAGCTGTTTACATCCTTCACATGTTTTTATAAGTCCATTGGACTAGGGATCTCCCTTTCTGCAGAATCTGAAGAGCACTTCTCTCATTGAAATGCTACTTTCTTGATGGATTTCACGGTTAAATACTCACTTTGTTGTTCAGGGATTTGTTTTCTCTGGTAAACATCTTTCTGAGTGTTCTTCAGACCATGAAGTAGCAAGATCAAGAAACTACCAGATTCTTTTTAAAATCTGCTGCATCAGTAAAATATCCATTAAAAAAAACTTTTTTTCTTCTCTGACTCGCATTGTGCTTCCTCAAAGCTGTTCGGAAAACTAAAAAAAAGTGGATTGTGAATAAGTTTGTCTGAGTTCTGAATGACTTGAGCCTTTGAACTCTTAGTAAGCCTTTATCTACAGCAAACTTTGAGATTATAACTTGAAATTTTGGTAAATAATGGGGCTGGAATACCTGGAAATGTTGTTTCCAAATTGCAGTTGAGGTTTTTCATATGGGCTCCAAGTGTGTAATCAGAGGCTGCTGCATGAATGTGCTTTTTTTTCCTTCTTTGCCTAACTTTTAACCATCACAAAAGAAAGGGATCTTTAAAATTATCTCTAAAGCTAGTATTCAATCTTCCAAGTGTGGCATCTCATTTTAAATTTTTATTTGTATTTTTGTTACTAAAAGACACTGCAGAAAAGCACAGGCTTTGAATGTTGTTAATGTAGGAACTGAGCTTCTATATTGTTAACTGCTCTGGAAGTAGACTCAGAACTGATCCTCATTTGACAATGATCCTGCTAAAAAATACATAGACAAGCAATTAAAGGATGTGCACAGTTAATAGAATTTACAGAATTCACTTCAATCTCGCTGCATTAATGTTGCAGTAACTTAGGAGCCAGGGCGTAAGTTCCAGCTGCACTGTTTGTTACTTTCATCTGTCTCGCAATTATTTATATAAAGATTATTCTGTCCTTTTCAGAATAAATGCACAGACCACATACATTACTGTGTTCAGGTAGATAACATCTGTGCTTTTGTTGCCAGTTGCTGCATAGTTTTATATATTTTATACTATTTTCTGCTTATCAATTAATGCTGGGAAGAGCTTTTCATTAAGAATCTTGCTTTTAGCAGCAGTTTTGTAGTCATTTGGGTTGGGTTTTTCTCTCACACTAAATTTTGACAGATCTGAACGCAAATGTGGAATAAGATTGAACTTTTCAAGTAATTCTGGTGTGTTCGCCCCCCAGATATTACATTGCAGAAATGTTTCCTTTGGCATTTGCAGGCATATCCTGTAGTCTCTATTTCTGTCATCTGTAGAGTAGCCATTTTCATTTACATGTTGACTTATTTCTGAAAATAGAACAAAGCTTAGGTCCTTTTGGATCAGAACAACCATGTTAGGTTTTGGTCTTTGAAGCTGTTTGTTAGTCATGAGATTATGTACAATTTGAAAAGCAGTGGCCACCTTAGAGGAGGAACCTGGTTTCTCAGTTGCAACAGACTGCAAAAATTGCAAGCAGACACTGAGCAGCAATCCATGCCCCTTTCTATTGTTTTGTATCTCATGTTGTGAAAGAAATATTCCTCCATAGCCAAGCTGATTGGTTTAATAGCTTTTCACTGCTGCATGTGGTGGTGGAGGTCCACATGTTCAAACTGCAGTCGAAAATTCTCCTAAGGCGACACATTGCAGGAGACGTGACGTTTTTTCTCAGCCTTTTCCCCATAGCACAGATATGCAAGAGGGAAGGCCCATGGCAGCTTTGGTTAAAAAAAAGCTTTCGAGTTCAGTAGATGATATACCAGGACTGGGTTTTACTGAGAATGCTTGCCCACAGGCTTTGCTGTCATCACAGGTAATGCTCTGTAGGACAATAATTTGAAAGAAGGAGAAATGATAAAATAGTCAAGATTTCTATTCCTGCACAAATACAAGAGGCAAAAGCCATTTGTTGTGTGCTCTTCTTAGGACCACAGCTCATCATTGCAAAACTATGTAACACAGCTTTCATCTTCATTTTTTGAATGAGGAAGATGGCTCTCCTGAGTGCATGTTACGTTTCTTGGATTTGATGAAAAACTTTGAGGACTAACAATATGTTTTCAGGCTTAACGTTCTGTCAGACACAGCTTAGATGCCAAGGCATACTCTTTGATTAGCAAATAGTATGTACCAAATGAATTGCATTCCCACTGCTTATTGAATTAACTTCACAGTGAGGCAGCTGCCTTTAGTACATTTCAAAGGTGGCTGTGAAACAACCTTTCCATGAGTGTAGGGTTGTTCTTCATAATGATCTACTTTGTTTTCCGATTTGCAGTGAAATTGCTAATTTTATCTCTGACACTGGAGACAAGCATGATACTCTCTTTTTTGTCTCTGAGGTTGAGTAATACAGAACAGGAAAAAATAGAACTCCTTCAGAGGACGCAAAAGTCCTGTGGTACTTTTAAAGCTTTCAAGAAATAGACATAAAGACATACCCTGTCAATTGTCACTTGATTTCCAAAATAATCTCTAGGGATAATGTTCCCTGTATTCCACATGTGACTAAATCCTTGCCTACCATGCTAAAGCTTCCCCCTTAGCAACCAAAGCAAATTTTTTTAAAAAAAAGAGCAACCCAAAAACCAAACCTAAAACCAGGAAAAAACCCCACCTGCACATGAGAATGAATCTTTGGAGGAGAAGAAAAGCAGGCAAACTGTTAACAAAAAGGGTGGTAAACAGGCCACAGAAGCTGTCTGCAAAAAAGCCATTTCTGGGTACACTCATAAACCTAAGCAGAGTCAGATTTAGCGAGCACATAGATGGATATTAAATGAAAAATAATCAAATAATCCTTGAAGTTTCAGGAAGTGTTTTTTTTTTTTTTTTTGAAACAGTTGCTGAGGGTGTACTCATCCAAGCCATATCTCAGCCAGATGAATTTGTGAGAGTTTCTGTGTTGCTGGAAGAGAGGGATTTGATCATATTTTGATCCACACTTGATATTGACTGATATTGACTTGTTATTCCCTATTTTTTTAAAAAAGAAAACAGAAATGTCACCTGTGGCAGCTGTATTTTCCTGATTGTCTAGGCATCCTTCCTGCTTGTAACCTTGATATCTGTCTTCATTATGGGCTACAGGAGAGCATCAGGCCCCAGTGAGCTGATTTGTGTTTAGGACTTAAGTGACCCCATAGCAACATAGGTGGTATGTGAGCTCTTTAACTGTCAACAGACAAGTGCAGACTCCATCTCTCACTAATATATGTGGTACAAACTGTCATTCTGGTATATTACTAGGGAATTCAAAAGTACTCTGGGCACTCCAGCCTAATCCTTAGTATTTCTGTTCGTCCTCAGACTACTCTTAATTACATTTCTAGTCTTTCCACACAAGAGGCAATCTCTGTTTGCATACAGAGCAGTACAGGGAGACCTTACTTTCATTTGAAGTATCTATCTGCCATGTCAATAGGCCTGCAGAATAAAATTCCTAATAGGCTGTGTATGCTCAGCCTAATTTTGCTGGCAGGCATTTTAGTGGCATTTCACCAGAGGAGAATCTGTCTGCACAAGGATTTTAATATAGTGTTCCACTGGGAAGTGCTGAGTGGTTGTGTCTGGTGGCTTTGATCATGAAACTGGAATAGTATTAAAATGTCATAAAATACGTGAGCACTGGAGTTTTAATAACTTTATTAGGGAAAAGTATTTACCTACATACAGATTAGTATCCTGTGGGATTTTAGTCCAGAAAGGAAGTTGGCATGGTGATCACCAGCTCTGTGACCATTAGAACTATCAGTGGCTTAGCTTTAGGATGTGTG